AACAATGGTTTTATCCATGAACAACATCCTACAATGACTTGATTACATTCAGTCAGGTGGGTATCCTCAATGTTAACAATGGTTTTGTCCATGATCAGCATCCGACAATGACTGGATTACATTCATTCATTCAAGGTACCCTAACTGTTAACAATGGTTTTATCCATGAACAACATCCTACAATGACTGGATTACATTCAGTCACTCAAGGTACCCTAACTGTTAACAATGGTTTTATCCATGAACAACATCCTACAATGACTGGATTACATTCAGTCATTCAAGGTACCTTCACTGTTAACAATGGTTTTGTCCATGATCAGCATCCTACAATGACTGGATTACATTCAGTCATTCAAGGTACCCTAACTGTTAACAATGGTTTTATCCATGGACAACATCCTACAATGACTGGATTACATTCAGTCATTCAAGGTACCCTAACTGTTAACAATGGTTTTATCCATGAACAACATCCTACAATGACTGGATTACATTTAGTCATTCAAGGTACCTTCACTGTTAACAATGGTTTTGTACATGATCAGCATCCTACAATGACTGGATTACATTCAGTCATTCAAGGTACCTTCACTGTTAACAATGGTTTTGTACCTGAACATCTTACAATGACTGGATTACATTCAGTCATTCAAGGTACCTTCACTGTTAACAATGGTTTTGTACATGAACAACATCTTACAATGACTGGATTACATTCAGTCAGGTGGGTACTCACATTGTTAACAATGACTGAAATTCAAATACTAAGCCATCATTGCTAAATAATAACAATTCAATTTAAACAAAGAGATTTATTGACTTAAAAACTACAATTTTTTTATATATTATTGATTACATAAATATAAAACTAGTGAACATTACAAAATTGCCTAAAATATATAAGTAAATGCAGACTGAAAGACACGGATAACAAACCTTAGTCCAAGGTGGGTTTCATTATTGTTCAACTCGTCCCAAGTCTCTTTGTCTACGCCACTAAATATTCCATTGTTGTTCAGAATAATCACTATTACCGGGAGTTTATACCTGTGAAACAGAAACATTGTTGGTTTATACAGAATTCAACAAAGGAATTGGTACACACAAAAGGAATTGTTATCTTCTACATACAACTAACACCTGTACTACCATAATGTATTATATAACTAAATATATATACATACTAGAGATGGCTGATATGGGTATTAAAAACTGCTGCGATCATTGAACTCTGGAGCCAAAGGATGAGAAACTGTGGATCGGGAGAGTATCAGACCCTGCTGCGATCACTGAACTCTGGGTTCAATGATCGCAGCAGGGTCTGATACTCTTCCGATCCACAGTTTCTCATCCTTTGGCTCCAGAGTTCAATGATCGCAGCAGGGTCTGATACCCTTCCGATCCACAGTTTCTCATCCTTTGGCTCCAGAGTTCAATGATTGCAGCAGGGTCTGATACCCTTCCGATCCACAGTTTCTCATCCTTTGGCTCCAGAGTTCAATGATAGCAGCAGGGTCTGATACTGTTCCGATCCACAGTTTCTCATCCTTTGGCCCAGAGTTCAGTGATCGCAGCAGGGTCTGATACTGTTCCGATCCACAGTTTCTCATCCTTTGGCACTGGAGCCAAAGGATGAGAAACTGTGGATCGGAAGGGTATCAGACCCAGCTGGGATCATTGAACTCTGGAGCCAAAGGATGAGAAACTGTGGATCAGAAGAGTGGAACTGTGGTGCAGAGAGGAATAGCAAAGGGATTGAGGAGGGGCATGCATAACTGAGAGCAACAAAAAACCTAAGACCACACAGAGATTAGAATACTGTCCAGCCAAGAGCAGTAGTCTGTTACCAGGATCAGAATATCCGGCACATGTAAGTTAAGAGATGTACTCGATGGGAATGAGCACAAATAGCAGGCCCAGGGATTCAGAAGCAGAGTCTTGCAACAGATACCCCCCTGATCGTTAACATATGAAAAAAAACTGTGGAATTGCTGGAAGAAAGGGAGAGGAACATGTTCAAACAACTGTAAGAAGTTCGAGTACGACGATGTGGAGTGAATGCCCCTCAGAAGCTCACACGCATAAAGTCACGCAGTCTGTTAGAGATGCACCCCAACAGAGAAGCAGGGTTTTGTAACTGACACCCAGAAGTAGTAAGGATTTGATATATCAGTTTATTATAAAAGTGGTTTAAATCTGCTGTATTTTAACATAAAAAATGCCAAGAGACATATCAGACATGTTAATGGCTATAAACAAAAATATATATTATGGCAGACTATATTAAGCAACCTAATTAATTACGAAAAATTTCATCATAGTTACTCACCTGATGACTGTTTCCATTTCAAATGCTGAAAAACCAAAAGCACTGTCCCCTTGTATACACACTACACGTTTAGTTGGTGCTGTATCCTGACACCACAGAGCTGCTGAAATAGCAAATCCACACCCAATACCCATTGTACCAAATGTACCAGCATCCAATCTGCGGGAACACAGTAAAAAGCGTAGTCTAACCATGAAACATATAAGCTAAATATATAATGCAAGAAATAAATATATATCTATTGTTTTGTTTAGCCTTTTCACAATGGTAAACCTCTATTCGTATAGGTAGTGAAGGATTGTGTAAAATTGATGATACTATGTTTTCTTCTACATTACTCAGCTGAGAAGCTGACAATGTATTTGTTTCTTTTACCACCTAAATTATTAAATGCAGGGAGAAAGAATTGTAAAGCCCAGTCTACGTTTTGATTCTCCACTTGTCACTGAACTAGACAAACTTCACAGATTTCTACCCCTCATCACACCCGGATAAGGGCAACTTGAAAAACAAGGATGGGCCTGTGTAAAGGTGATCCGTAGTTATGCGAATTGTCTTTTACTCAGTCTAACTTAGTGACAAGTGGCTAACGGAATAACAGTTGGGCTATCACATTTTCGTCTCACCGAAAGTTGCAATTTTGGAATTGAGAAGAAGAAACTTAAATAGCTTGTCTCCTGCATAATTTATAATAAATTAGTAGCATTAACCCTACATATTCTTAAAATCCTTTAGAAAGATAGGTGAACACAAGTCAACTCAAGTACTACCCACACTTCACAAAACCAAGTTCTGTTTTACATCCTGTCCTTGTTCAGGGTGACTCACAAAGGGAAGAATTCCCCAAAACTGGTTTAACTCATTGACAAGTGAAAACTTGAATGTTAGGCTTAGCTTTGTGTTCATTTGTTGCTGAAATTTGTAATTTTGTGGAGGAGAAAAACATTGCAGTAAATATCATGATGATTAACGTCACTTACTTCTTTCTTCTAACTTTAGTGTGACACATTGTTCTTGATGTGTATAAAATATATGGCCTGAAAACAACACTGAACTGTTAAGTAAAGCTCATTCTGAGATGTTTTTAACTTCGAGATGGCAAACCATAACATAAACTCAGTACTCGACCAGTGAAAAGATGAATGAACTGTTTCCACTGTGTACCTAGAAAGGCAGATCTAAACAGTTACATAAACATCTCTTTAATTATGCAAGTTTTGTAGTGACAATTACAAAAACAGGGAACAAGTATAGAGCTTAGATTGAGCTACAGCTCAACATCAAATTGAAATTGAACCTTAACATCATACTGAACTAAATCTCAACATCATATAGAAACTCAACCTTAACATCACATTGAACTAAAGCTCAAAATCAGATTAACTAAGACTCAATATCAGATTAACTAAAATTCAATATTAGATTGAACTAAATCTCAACATCAGATTAACTAAAACTCAACATCAGATTGAACTAAATCTCAACATCAGATTAACTAAAATTCAACATCAGATTAACTAAAATTCAACATCAGATTAACTAAAATTCAACATCAGATTAACTACAACTCAATAGCAGATTGAACTAAATCTCAACATCAGATTAACTAAAATTCAACATCAGATTAACTACAACTCAATAGCAGATTGAACTAAGTCTCAACATCAGATTGAACTAAGGTTCAACATCAGACTGAACTGGAGCTTTAACATCAAGTTGAACTAAAACTAAACATCAGATAGAACTCTTCCTCAATATAACCACTAAATCAAACTAAACATTTAAAAAAAAAACATCTCAAAACCAGCCCTTATCATTCAAATATTTATGAAGCTTTCCCTTAAACTAAATGCATCCACCACAACTTAAGTCCACCCATTCCAGAGGCCAACCACCCTGTTAGAAAAATAAAGCTGTCCAAAGATGATTTCTTTCTTACCAAATTTTATATTTGGTTCCTCTAGTCTTACCATTCTCACCGTTAAATATAAAAAATATTACGCATCAACACTATCAACTCCCTTAACAATCTTAAAAACTTCAATCAGACTTTTAACATCAGACTGAATGAACCCCAGATTCCCTCTTAACTTTTAACATCAGACTGAACAAACCCAACCTTGATATCAGAGTGAACTAAAGCTCAACACAGATTTATTATCTTGTACACCTCCAGAAAACTAGCACACATTTTATGATGACCTATCTTCAGCTTTCTAAACATTCTAGTTTTAATCATTAAAATTCTCTATGATAAAGCTCTAATAAAAACAAACTGTCTTCAGCTTTCTAAACATATAGTTTTAATCATTAAAATTCTCTATGATAAAGCTCTAATAAAAACAAACTGATACATTTATATTCTTAATCAATTTTTAACGTTAATAGTTTCATTTTGAGTATACTTACTGATTAAGTAATATTTTATTACAAGTTACTTGAAGGCAAGTACTTGTAAATGATCACACCAGTGATTAAAATATCATACCTGTTCTACAAAATAACTTTCCTGTAAAAGCTGTAACTTGTAATAAAACAATTTTTAACATTATTTACAAAAGCACAATACCATAAAAAGACAGTAAATTAATATTCCAAACTTCTGAACTAGATATTCAATTTACATATTTTTTTTACAGTATCAGATAATAGTTAGTATTGCTAAGTTCTTATAAATATTTTTTTTTTTACAGAAACAAGTAATCTACATATAAAATTTTATTTAACATAAGAATAAATTATTTTGAATTATTAAATCTATTTTCAAACATATATGAGGCATTGTCCTTCAAGGATGATGTTTGGACATATGAGAGGCATTAACCTTCAAGAATGATGTTTGGACATATGTGAGGCATTGTTCTTCAACAAGGGTGTTTGGACATATGAGAGGCATTGACCTTCAAGAATGATGTTTGGACGTCCAAACACCCTTGTTGAAGGACAATGCCTCACATATATATGTGAGGCATTGTCCTTCAACAAGGGTGTTTGGACATATGTGAAGCATTGTTGTGCAAGATGAATGTAATACATCCTGCCATAAATTAGAGAATTAAAATATTTATGTCCCATTTGATTGTGTGACAAAGAAAATTCTACCTGTGTCGGGGAAGGTAATTTGCTAGCATAGTTCTTCCAATGTCCATAGTATTTGATCCTTCATTTATGATCACAGCATCTTTTGGAATAAGTTCATTTATCTGGAGAAAATATAAAAAAATAACAATGTGATGTTTGAAATCCCTTCCCATACAAGCACATACACTTTGAATGAGTATAAAATAATAGTCAAGTATATTCATATGCCAAAAAGAAGGCAGCAAACCTTGTCTTTTCTCCTGAAATTTGAAAGATGTATCACTAGTTTTAAAATTTTTACAACTTGTTTCATGAAAGTAAATATATTTGTTCAATACACCATTAACTTTGTTATTTCACCACTCTTCTTGAAAAAAAGAGTACGTTTATTAGGCTTACAAAAAAAACAACTACATACAAAGCCTGTTTCTGAGACTTGATAGAATTTCAAAGATGTTGGACGAACTGGAGGTAACGACACAGACTAACGATTCAAAGATCATGGATGGATGGCCTTTAAAATTCTAAAGTCAAATGTCAACCAGACTTAACGGTTAAAATTAACTGTTTTTATAATGAACAGATGTAGTTTAAAGTTACTTAAAGTATGCAGAAAACTTAAATAATTTGTTTCTCTCAACTGACCACCTAGTGATAAACTGTTCATAATAATGAATGTTCAACATTCTATTAGACACATACATACATACATAATGTAAGTACAGATTTGAAACTTGTACTTGTAATTCTGAACTCAACGATTGTTTCCTACTAAGCTGAAAACGTGTACATAATTCATTTCTTGAAATATAAGTTAAGGCACTACAAAAGAGGGAACATTAGCAATGATACGAGAAAATATCTGAAATCATTGGTTAAGTTCAATCTAATTATTTATATGACAGTCCTAACCTAATTATGTTTAACTTCAGGATATCCTGGCACATGAATAACTCAACAAGTGTGGTTCCTAGAAAACTCATGTAATGTTAGGTTTAACTTAGTGAAATAAGAGAGCAATAAATATAGTTACACAAATCAACACGTTATCAAAGAAGAAAATAACTGACTGAATACAAACACCATATTCATGTGTTCTAAGTTATGATGAAATAACCTCAAAATAAAGACATATCTTTGGTTTTTATTAAAAATCTATTTAAAGTAGTTTCTTTATTTCAAATGGTGAGATTTGGAAATACACCTTTCACAAGTTAATAACCAGAAGCAGAGAACAAATATTCAAACTGTAAGAGAATGGTCAAGGATTTCAACTTTTTATTCACCAGTTTTTCTTCTATGGCAAGTACATTTGACCTTAGTTAAACGATTTCCTTATATGAGTGTTACTGCGTTAAGATTTTTCTTTCAAATCAATCTTTTGATGAATATAAACATGTATTTTTAAATGATAAAGACAAGAATATACACAATATAATTAATATATTTTCACAGTCGGTCTGTCGGTTTAAGCACAAACGTAAATAATGAACTTTCTTCACTGTAACTTACATGAGGATCTAATGTCAAACTGTAGGGTTATAAACCCTAGTTGAAGCTTATTTGCTAGTCTAAGTCTTATGCTAAACAAAATAAGTATAAAACAAGTGACTTATTAAATTGTTTTTGACTTTGTCCATACAAGTTGAGAACTTATTAATAATGCAACACAGGATTTTTAATAAATGGTATTTCAATTATAAAGGAACTTTATAGAGTTATTTCATCCATGATGTAAAAATAATTAAACCTATTCTACAGGAAATATAAACCACAATGTGTTCATTAAATAATTAAAATTATGGAAACATTTGAATGTCCAAAATTTTATACTTTCATTCATGTTTTAAATATAAAAAATCAAATTTGTTTCGAATTATATCAACATTTATAAAGACTTATTTTTATAGTAAATTAATAAAATGTCTCACTACAGTTAATTAAGTAGTTCACATGATAAAAATACAGAGGGCAGTCACAATATTAGTTTAATTTTTACACCTGTGGTAAAATGTACAAAAAACTTGAAATAAAAGATTTTAGCATTATATTTTGTAAAATTTTATGCATGCTAATAAAAAAAATTTACATATTATTTTATAATAATCTCAAAAAACTCCAAAATAATTCATTTTTACCTTATGAAGAACAATATAGTAGTTCAGAGGGAGAGAGTTGTCCGATATCATTTTCTGAAAACAACAAAACTACATTATAAAAAACTGAGGATTTTTTAACCTTTACAAAAACAAAATCAGTATTACATGTGGTTATTGTCAATAATTATTTAGGTTGTGCAAAAAAATACTTTTGCATTAGGAATATAAATCAACGTAATTTTAGGCCATAACTTATGTTATTGAATCATTAAATAGAAATCTTAATCATGAACAGGAAGATCACGGAAATGATCGATAGCACATCTAATATTTCCAGGTTTAATTGGTGAATGCTACTAATACTCACCTGTTGAGCACGAGACAAACATATTTGGTACTGTTCCCAAGCTCACGTGCAGTTAGTAAAAAAAACAAGTCACATTTTACTCAAATGAGCAGCTTTCTAGAACGTCTATAATAATGTATCCAGTCAAAATTCCAGCATGAAACCGACTTATGAACAGCACCATTTTGCTTTGCTGAATAAAAACTTGGGGGTATGTCCCCCATACCTCCACCCTCATCTAGAAGGTGACTGTCATCAGTGCTCACAGCACTTTACTGCATGCTGAAATTTAGTTGCCTTCTGCAAAAATCTCGCTTAAACAGATTCCTAAAAGTTGACAGCCATACATTTCCGATAATCGACAATCTGTAATAATATCAATCTGACAGCCGTACATTTCCGATAATCGACAATCTGTAATAATATCAATTTGACAGCCGTACATTTCCGATAATCGACAATCTGTAATAATATCAATTTGACAGCCGTACATTTCCGATAATCGACAATCTGTAATAATATCAATCTGACAGCCGTACATTTCCGATAATCGACAATCTGTAATAATATCAATTTGACAGTCGTACATTTCCGATAATCGACAATCTGTAATAATATCAATTTGACAGCCGTACATTTCCGATAATCGACAATCTGTAATAATATCAATTTGACAGCCGTACATTTCCGATAATCGACAATCTGTAATAATATCAATTTGACAGCCGTACATTTCCGATAATCGACAATCTGTAATAATATCATTTTATACTTCACTGTAATACACTTGTTTCAGTAGATACGATTATGGAATAATATTAAAGAGAACAAACACAGTAGAAATAACAATTTTTCACAGTTAAGCATACACTAATATCATCTTTGATATAATTAAAGATCGCTGTTGATAGTAGATGCATATCCTGAAATGTTTTTTGAATATTAAATATGTTACAAATAGTTTTTTTCGGGCGGTTAGTTAATTTTCTCATCAAATTTTTACAAAAATATTTTCTCACATAACAAATCCATCTTATTAGAAACGTGCTCACTCTAAATTGTTTCAAAATCAACGTAATTCCTTATTAGTAAAATCACTAAAAATGTGTAAGAGTTTATTAACTAACCTGAACTACTTTAGCATTCTCTTCTATTTTTGTCTTTAACCTTTCCCACCAGGGAGCAGTAGCAGGAAAGCTCCAGTTGCAGTTATCAAGCTCTTGAAGTAGCTAATAGAAGAAAAACTTTTACAAAATATCAAGTATACTTAACCCTAACAATTAAATATCAAATATACTTATTCCTAACAATTAAATATCAAGTATACTTATCCCTAACAATTAAATATCAAGTATACTTATCCCTAACAATTAAATATCAAATATACTTATTCCTAACAATTAAATATCAAGTATACTTATTCCTAACAATTAAATATCAAGTATACTTATCCCTAACAATTAAATATCAAGTATACTTATCCCCTAACAATTAAATATCAAGTATACTTATCCCTAACAATTAAATATCAAGTATACTTATCCCTAACAATTAAATATCAAGTATACTTATCCCTAACAATTAACAAGTTTATATGGAAACAAGGTTTGACACTTTCACAAGTTTATATGGAAACAAGGTTTGACACTTTCACAAGTTTATATGAAAAAACAAGGTTCGACACTTTCAAGTTTATATGGAAACAAGGTTCGACACTTTCACAAGTTTATATGAAAACAAGGTTCGACACTTTCACAAGTTTATATGGAAACATGGTTCAACACTTTCACAAGTTTATATGGAAACAAGGTTTGACACTTTCAGGTGTCATATGTTTGAACTGAAGAAGATAAGAGAAAATGTAAAAAATTAACGTATATTCAACTATTTCAAAACTATCATTCAACTTCTCAATACACATACATATTTGTAATCTCCTTTCCCACAGTCCAGATGAGTTTAAATCAAGTATTTGGTCTTTACTATTTGTTGCCTTCAAGAATTATATTGTGTTACTTAATTCTGCCTTTACATGTGAACATGTTACTGAGGTTTAGTGATAAGGCTTAAAAACATAAAATCAGCCTTAACAGATAAACATCACATAACATGTATAATAGACAAACAGACTAATTTTATGCTTTAGTGATATAAGCTGAACTAAAGTTAAAACTTTATCATAATGGCCCTACTTTTTGACACTGTTATAATACCAGTTTTTCCAAACACTAAACAGTTATTATAAACCATGTTTAAAAGCAGTGTTCAACAGTTTCAACGAGCCTTAAAATACCCAGTTTTGTTAGCATTTATAGATTCCTAGCCATAACTATTTTTGCAAGAATATCTGTTCATGAGACTCTTTGAGATAATAAGACTATTCAGAATAAAAGTGGTTTCTCAGCTTTCAAGTTACGCTCTCGTCAGTTATGTGATGAAAAAAACTGCAGTTCTAACAAAAATGTTGTTTCTTTTTTTAAGCACAAAGCTACACAATGGGTTATCTTTGCTTTAACAACAATGGGTATCAAACCACAATTTTTAGCATTATAAGCCCTCAAGAATACTGCTGAACCATCGGAAAGTTCTGTTAAAGTTGTTGTTGTTTTAGCACTCTGTTCACTACAGGGAATCGAACTCCAGACTAAAGAATCGTAAGTCTGTAAACTTACATGACTAGAAAGATATGCTAGAGCAAACTGTCCTATAACGTTTCCTTTACGTGATAAAAATAAACAGCAACAACTATTTATTTAAAACATACTAGATACCGTATCAAGTAAAAATTAAGGTATTTTGGAGTACCGACTCAAATTAGAAACATTAATTGATCAGATATTATACACCGTACTTACAAAGTGAAAATGTGCGAATCACAAGTCAGAAACATACTACACACGTACTTTGAGAAACCTGCCACCAAGAATCAGACTGTAAAGGCTTCATGTACCTGACTAGTGACAGCTTCCACATCTCCTGCTAAAGCAACTTCAGCTTGCACATTGTTATGCAGTTCTTCCATCATGAGGTCAACCTAAAATCACTAAACATCAGTACAAACTATGCACAAAATATCAAAATTTATTTCTATAACAAAGTGGACTTACACTAAATAATAGCTCAATGAAAACCCTATAACCCCAGCACCTCGAAAGAAGGACCTTACTTCTTTGAGAGTAAACTGGGAATGGTGGTGTAACTGGATAAGTGATACACAATGGGAGTTGAATGACGTCATGAAGGTAATCAGGGCTTCCACGAGGTGTTTTGGTATATTTTTTAATGTACTGTTGTCAGTATCTCATTTCTGTCGCAACACGGCTTGAAAGGAGAGCATTGCGTAAAAAGGTGTTAGAGATGTTTTCCTTTATAAATGGTTAAGAAAAACTATATTTAAGTATTGTTGAAGTAAAATAAAGGTGACTTATGAAGATTGACTGAAAAAGAAATGTTAAGCAGATCAATTTCTAAAGGCAGGCATGGAAAATTATCATAAATAAATAGTTAGTATTTGAAAGAAGAAGGGTAAACATTGAAAATTCACACTACAGGAAAAAAATATATACAAAAATTATTTTCCTAACAGAAAACAAACCCATGATTGGAGATCACCGATTCCAGGATATAGAGAACAAACCCATTATTGGAGATCACCGATACCAGGATCTAGAGAACAAACCCATGATTGAAGATCACTGATTCCAAGATCTAGAGAACAAACCAATGATCAGAGATCACTGATTCCGAGATCTAGAGAACAAACCCATTATTGGAGATCACCGATACCAGGATCTAGAGAACAAACCCATTATTAGAGATCACTGATTCCAGGATATAGAGAACAAACCAATGATCGGAGATCACTGATTCCGAGATCTTGAGAACAAACCAATTATTGGAGATCACCGATACCAGGATCTAGAGAACAAACCAATAATTGGAGATCACTAATTCCAAAATCTAGAGAACAAACCAATGATCGGAGATCACTGATTCCGGGATCTAGAGAACAAACCCATTATTGGAGATCACTGATTCCAGGATCTAGAGAACAAACCAATGATCGAAGATCACTGATTCCAGGATCTAGAGAACAAACCAATGATCGAAGATCACTGATTTCAAGATCTAGAGAACAAACCAATGATTGGAGATCACTGATTCCAAGATCTAGAGAACAAACCCATTATTGGAGATCACCGATACCAGGATCTAGAGAACAAACCAATAACTGGAGATCACTAATTCCAAAATCTAGAGAACAAACCAATGATCGGAGATCACTGATTCCGGGATCTAGAGAACAAACCCATTATTGGAGATCACTGATTCCAAGACCTAGAGAACAAACCAATGATCGGAGATCACTGATTCCAGGATCTTGAGAACAAACCAATAACTGGAGATCACTGATTCCAAGATCTAGAGAACAAACCAATGATCGGAGATCAGTGATTCCGGGATCTAGAGAACAAACCCATTATTGGAGATCACTGATTCCAAGATCTAGAGAACAAACCAATGATCGAAGATCACTGATTCTATCTAGAGAACAAACCAATAATTAGAGATCACAGATTCCAGGTTATTGAGAACAAACCAATAGTTGAAGATCACTGATATACAAAAACACTTCCTAGAAGCCCAGGTGACCTGTACGACATCACTCAACTCCCTTTATATATCACCCATTCAGTTACTCCACCATTCCCAGTTTACCACCTTTCAAAAGTGCCCTGGTTATAGGGTTTTTATCATTTTATACTAAGACTTCTTGAACCTATGTGTTTTCTGATATCATGGCTAAATAGCAGCTAATAGTATATAGTTCATGTATATAATTAGATTTATTTTTATGTTGAAACATTGTTGCGAGATACTTGTTTAAAACACTTCCTTTCATCCAAGTTTTTTTATTCTTAATCAGAAAGTTCCACGCCCAGTTTGATTGATTTTAATAAACATTTGTCTTCACAGCTTAGTTTGCCAACTGCAGTAATAACTACTTCTCAACTAAAAATCATAAAAGAATAACTTACACACTGACAAAGATTTAATGCTTGAAATGTTTTACACTGTTTTGTCTATAAGTTCTGCTATAACAGTTACATAGTCACAACATTATTAATTACAAACCTAATACTATATACATCTTTCAATTTGTCTGACAACAAAGATAACTTACCTGTATAATCTTCACAGATGGACTGAAACGTGGAGGTTTACCAAAATGAAGTATCCAATTTAGCCTTGCACCAAGTAAAAGTATAACATCTGCTTCCAGAAGAGCCCTGCACATTAAAACGGAAATGGTACTATGTGATACACTAAAACTCAACTGTTAAACACAAAATGGTACTACGTAATATACTAGAAATCAACTGTTAAATACAAGATGGTACTATGTAATACACTAAAAAATCAGCTGTTAAATACAAAATGGTACTACTGTAATACATTAAAAATCAGCTGTTAAATACAAAAATGGTACTACGTAATACATTAAAAAATCAGCTGTTAAATACAAGATGGTACTATGTAATACACTAAAAAAATCAGCTGTTAAATACAAGTTGGTACTATGTAATACACTAAAAAATCAGCTGTTAAATACAAAAATGGTACTACGTAATACATTAAAAATCAGCTGTTAAATACAAAATGGTACTATGTGATACACTAAAAAATCAGCTGTTAAATATAAGATGGTACTATGTGATACATTAAAAAATCAGCTGTTAAATATAAGATGGTACTATGTGATACATTAAAAAATCAAAACTTACTTCACTGACTTCAAAACTTACTTTTAACAAATAGAAGCCACACACAGTGGATGGGTATCAGGAATCAACAACATAAACCAATGACTTCAAACTTACTTTTAACAAACAGAAGCCACACATAGTGGATGGGTATCAGGAATCAACAACATAAACCAATGACTTCAAACTTACTTTTAACAAACAGAAGCCACACATTGGATGATTATCACGAATCAACAACATAAACCATTAGTTAAAAAAGTTACCTTGATCGAGCAGAAGCCACACACATTGGATGATTATCAGGAATAACTCCTTTACCCATGGGAGTTGGGAGAAAGGGTAGGTTACATCTTGTCACCAAGGTCCTTATTTTCTCTTCTGCTCTACTATATGCAGCTCCTTTAATAAATATTCTCTTTATCAATAGAAGCTGATGAAATGTACTATTTAAAAGTAGTATTTGTAACAATGAAAAATCCAAAGACTTTATATCTTCGATACAATGACTCCAATGTTGGCGTCATGGGAAGTCTTGATTATACATGCAATGACGCCACTGTTGGAGTTATCATGCTTAAGTTTATCTTTAAGAAGGAAAAATATTCTGTTATGCTTATCAGAGCATTATTGAATGTCTCGTAATGTTCTTCAATCTAAATGATGTCATTTTTATTGACCAATCAGAAACTTTCACAAAATAATTGATGCGTAACTGATTGAAGTAATAACAGGGTGGTGTCAGTTGCATGCAGGTGTTGACTGAATGGTAACTAGCTATAAATACATCTTATTTTGCTTACATTTACAAATTGTTTGAGTAAAATAATATAAAAAATGTCAAGTGATGAGGGTATGAGTGACAGTGGTAGTGAATATGTATCAGATGAAAGTGATATAGAGTTTGATAGCAGTGATTATTCAGATTGCAGTGACAATTTTCAATTTCAAGACTTGCCTCAACCGAATGAAATGGCTGGAGGATGGAAACGTGTTCCTAATGTGTTTGATGATGCTAGACTGGAGGATGGAAATGTGTTCCTCGTGTGTTTGATGATGCTAGGCTGGAGGATGGAAACGTGTTCCTCATGTGTTCGATGATGCTAGGCTGGAGGATGGAAACGTGTTCCTCATGTGTTTGATGATGCTAAGCTGGAGGATGGAAACGTGTTCCTAATGTGTTTGATGATGCTAGGCCTCAACTGGAGCCACCATTAGTGCATAATTTCAGTGGGATCAACCCCACAGCTGGTTTTTCAGATAACATGAGTGTTTCAGAAGGTGTATTATGAGTGAAGTTATAAACCATATTACTTTTTGTATAAATGATAAAGCAAAGGCTTTCTTTTATACTAATCCACAAGCTAATGGAATTGTAAATAGTATCCGGTGGCAAGATGTCACTAAAAATGATATATTTACGTTTCTTGCTCTTTATTTTTATGCTGAAATATGTAAATATAGCAATATGAACCAGTATTGGGCAAGAATGCCCTATGAACCAGGCATTCATTTTTTATGCTCCCATAATGAG